AACAGAAGTACAAAAGAATGTTTTATATTCTGTATAGTGCAAAACCGTTTCAACAACAAACAAAAACATTTCTCAAATTTTCAACAAAATCAAAATAAAGTGGATGTTATACCCAGTACTTCAAGTAAAATTAGTCATTTAGACATACAAAATTCAATGTTGCCTAAAATATTATAGTGTAACGGGACCTTAAGGGGCTTAAGCTGCACATAGTCCTGTCATAAAACAATTTCAGATACCGTATTTTTCGGACAATAAGCCGCGACTTTTTTCCTGAACTTTGAACCATGCGGCTTATAGTCCGGTGCGGCTTATAGTCCGAAAAAAACGGTATCTGAAATTGTTTTATGACAGGACTATGTGCAGCTTAAGCCCCTTAAGGTCCCGTTACACTATAATATTTTAGGCAACATTGAATTTTTAATGTCTAAATTACTAATTTTACTTGAAGTACTGGTTATAACATCCACTTTATTTTGATATTGTTGAAAATTTGAAAAATGTTTTTGTTTGTTGTTGAAACGGTTTTACAATATATATGAAACATTCTTCTGTACTTCTGTTATGTTCATTTGCACTACAGCAAAAACACTGGCTTTGATTATGATTACAGTTTTCTGCAAAATAAATGCTCTAAAAATTACATTATCTTTGCTTTTTATGATAATTTTCTACCGCGATTTTTCCCGTTACTGTGAAGGGATTCAATTTATACCGTGATATGAATTTGAAGTCATACCGCCCAGCTGTAGTTTATACCCACCTAAAATTATTTCTATACTAAATTTAAAAAAATGCTTGCATTCCAAGTTTAATAAATCTGATTACCTTGAAGTTCATGACCATCTCCTTACGCTTGACACGCAACACCAGGTCACACAGGATCTCGTGCCGTCTGAACTCATCCATGGCCAAGAAAGATCTGGAGGCATGGTTCTCAACAGTGTAGTCAAGATATCCGGACCCCCGCATGGAGGGAACGACGATGGCAGAGAAATCAGAGTCACATGTAGGGCGTTTCCTCCTTAGACTGCAATGCATGCTGGAGACAGTGAGAGACACACTCCGGGTTTGGGTTCAAGTCATACAGACTTACACAGTTCTTCTCTTCCAAGGGTCAGACCGTTCAAAGGAGCATCTTATGTTGTGAGCTCCATTTTTAAAAAACGGAAGAAAATAAATTCCCTAAATTGGTTCAGTCAGTTGATATTCTCCAAGAAGTAAACAGTGCTTTCCATTAGTAGACACGGGTGTAGCCAAACGGCAGAGCAAACACAGCTTCAAGTAGAATAACCTGAATTCACGTCATCAGAGAATACAGCTTTAACCACGGTTCCTCCTTCATAAATCAAGGCGCCGACATGACTGACAGCAGATGTGTCAGGATCAGACTGCTCTTTCAGTCAAACCATGATCGTTAATGTCTTCATTCAGATTTTGGTTTGAGGAATCTGCAAGCAATCCACTGTGACGTCTCAGAGGGTTTCCTGACAGTTGTTGTTCCTCATGAGAAAAAGGAAGTGCTCGTCTGAACTGGTGCTTCTTCAAACTAGGCTGTGCTGACGCTCGGCCTGTGAAAAAGAGAAAATACYGTTAATGAAACTGAAAGCCCATAGAAATGTTTTTGTAATCTTACGTAATTGCGCGTATCAGGGCATGAGTTTCACTTCCATGCAGCTAAAATGAAAAAGCTGTACTCTGAAGAACTGCTGAACATTTCACCTCAGGAAAGGGTCAACATCTTACTTTCATTTTGGATGCGAAGTAATTTCCTTCCAAGACCTTTGCGCATATTTTTTTTATTTCCAGTTTACTTTCAGAGAAGCTTTACCATCCATTCATTTCCTTCCCTTGATTTAGTTTTCCAGGTGCTGCTGTCCAGCTGTGACTGTGTGAGAGGTGGAAGATACCCTGAACAGGACCCAAGGGACTCATCTTTATCTTTATCTTTATTTATTTAACAGGGACAATGCAAACAAAAACATAGAACAGAATCAAGTATGTAACTGATGCGTTGCACAAGGAGTATATAGCTACAGCTAATTTGCAACTCCAGTCCCTGGTTGGGCATTTCTACACAAATAAAGTACATACAGTTTATGCATCCATATACACAATAAATACATAAGCATGTCTGTGTTCCCTGCCTYTTGTCCAGTGGTTAAAAATATGGAACAAAGGTACTGGGAAAAATGGATACCAGGGAACATGGGTACAGAGAAGCAGGTACAATAGTACCTACTTTCCCTTGTTTGTATTAAAATGCACTTGAAGGGGGAGCCAAGTACCTTACATCACTTTAACTCGGAGAACATAGGTACCAAACATAAGGTACACTCCTGGTCTCTAAGTCCATCACAGGGACACCAAGAAAAATGAGCTGTTCACATTCTCACTCACATCTAAGGACAATTTAGTTACCAATGATTCTAACGTGTTTTAATGCTAAATTATTAAGAACATTATGATTGACTAATTTTGTAACATTAAATATTTATGCAAACTCAGCAAAATTTTCCTTATAAAATAAAATAAAATACTGGAGGGATCTATGCAGATGCAGCCCAATGTTCCTGCATCATAACAGTTTAAAGCACAGCATGAAGCTCCCTCGAGAGTTTCACTGCGTGTTCTTGTGTTTTTATGAAATAAAACAGCCATTTATAAGCCTTTTTTAAAAACACATCCTAAATTTGTGCTTTTCACATTTCATGAGTGCTTTATAAACACAAACCCTGCATATTCCATGGGGTGGATTGTATTCAAAATAATAATTTGCTGAATTTAATTTATTTTTTGGTTAGGGCAGCACAGTGGCTCAGTTGGTACTCTCAGCAGGAAGTTTGCTGGATCGAGTTTAATTGGTGACTCTAGGTGTGTGTGAATGGTTGTTTGTCTCTGTGTGTGTCTGTGTGATGGACTTGTGACCTGTCCAGAGTGTCCCCAACCCTCACACTGTGACTGCTGGCACCAACGACCCTGAAAGGAAGAAGCGGGTATAGATAATGGATGGATTGTTTTTTTTTATTAATCAGTCTGTGAATTTGTTAATGATGTAGCAAAAATATAACTTGACTTTCATACATGAAAGGAAAACATGACCTCTGACATGTCAGAACCTGGACTAAAAAACTAAATAAAAATAAGAATGGGTCAATAAAGTGAGTGATCCAAAGAGGTAATTTGCTTTAAAACAAAAACTGTTCATCTCATTTAAAAGCACTTTATTTCAGCTCAATGTGTACCGTTCCACTGTATTTTGCATCATTGAGCCATAAGCGTGTCCCCTTGTGGATGTGTGTGCACACGGAGCACAGCTGAAGAGGAGGTGGCATCGAATAAAAAACAACTCATTGTTTGAAGTGCAATAAAATCTTTCCAGTAAAATGACTGATGAACCTGATRGCCCAGTGTTAGGGCCAATCTGCAGCCTAAATGGAACAGCTTGTTTCAGTCTGTCCTTTATCGTCCCACGTGCAGCTAGAAACCTACACTGAAAAAAAACTTTTGGGTGTAGTAACATTTATTTAATTATTCTTTTAAATTTTACAAAAAATATCAAAATCTCTAAACTACTAGAGTTTACTAAATAAACAATACGCATTATATTATATATCAATATTACTGTACAAAAAAAAGTTAATGCTAATATTATTTTACAGTAATGTTTAAGTGCTTTTTCTGGACAGCACATAAACATGAATATATTAAGTAACTTCTACTCTTCTGGACTAAAACTGAGGGTGCATGCACACAAAGGCTGCTGCTCCTCATTCCCTTGCTTCACTTTTCAAGGAAAGGACAAGACATGGTCGAAATAAAACATACGTTGTCTGGTTTCTTTTGCTTGAATACATTTGTTGGTGTGCAATAGTTTGATGGCGTAATGTAGCCGGTGAATGTTAGCAGTGCTAGCTCAGACTGTCTGTTTGTCATGTGACTGCAGTGGAGGATTGTGGGTGGGATTCATGTTTGTTGCTGTTAAATCATTTTAGGGAACTGGTTAACATTGTTCTTTCAGCAATTAGTCTGTTGTGTTACTCTAATTTGTGTGTTCATTATTTGTTAACTTGTGTTAAACCGTTCAGCAGAAGTAACCATAAGTGAGAGTGGTCGGCCTAGTCATTAATAAGACCTGTGAGTTTCACTTTGTCTGTGTTGTTCATGAAGAAGAATCCAATAAAGGTTCTTCAAAACTGCCACCTGGTGGTGAAGTCTTGAACTACAACAAGAGCTACACCTCTCTCTGTAGCTGTGAGGTGTAATGCTACAATATTGTGCTTGACGCATGTGCGTTGTTATAAAGAACTTGTAAAATTTACTAGAAAAAATCCTCATAACATTTTGCACTAATGTTGGTTAAGTAAATTTAAATACTACAAATTCAAGTAATATTTACTCATCATTATCTAGTAAAAATTATTAAAGATTTGTGAATAAATCAGGTAAATTTTACTTAATTTGATCAAGTATATGTTGCAAGATTTCAATGATCAAATTAAGTAAAATTTACCTGATTTATTCACAAATCTTTAACTATATTCTTAATAACTTTTACTAGATAATGATGGGTAAATATTACATGAATTTGTAGCATTTAAATTTACTTAACAAACATTAGTGCAAATTGTTACGAGGATTTTTTTCAAGTAAATTTTACAAGTTATTTTTTTAGTGTACTCATGTTCTAAACAGTTTTTTTTTGTGTTATTGTTGTCTGTTTCTGTCAGAGTTGCAGCAGCTAAACTTAAAATCCCAGCACAGTCATGCAATTCAAAACTTTTGCAGTTGCACAAAACTAAAGGCCCTGTCACACTATAACATTTTAGACAACTTACGCCAACTTATGAAAAGTTTAAAGACATCTACGTTGAAGATGAAATTAGAAAAATCAACTGGAAGCCTCCTTTAGGAGTGTACCTACTGTAATGCTAATAAATTGATCAAAAATATAACTTTTATTAGTAATTTGGACGTAAAACAAGTTGGCATAAGTTGTCTAAAACGTTATAGTGCGACAGGGCCTTGACATCTTGTGGGATGAAAAAAAGAAGCAGAGCTGCTACTTAAAAAGCCAGCCATTTGAGTCGTTCTCTGCAGCCCAAACCAGTAAAACATGTTTCTAAATGCATAGTTAATTTTAGTCATGATCAGTTCTGCTGTGCGTATTCCCACTGAAACATAACATTTAACTTTAACGCATCATGGCAAGATGATGACCTGCTGGAGAGGTGAGCTTTCAGGCTGTTTAAATGTGGACTCATTAAATGAGGTCTAGGATTTAAACGCACATCTGCAAACGTCCCTGAGTGACACCTGTGTCAGGTTTCCTGGAAACGGGATGCAAAGTTTGTTAGTTTGAGTCCGTCGTGTCTGGCTGATAAGAGATTTGTGCAACATCTTAATCGCAACATAAAAAAGTACTTTTTTTAGTTAAAGACGTCAACGAGTAATTTTCACAGCTAATACAAGCTTACTGAGCATTTTATTTTGCGCAAGGCAGTGTTTTTTTTTAAATGCACAGTTTGCATTTGTTCCCCTGAGCAAAGCCAGAGGTGGTTCAGAGAAAAGGAGCGCGGCTTCGATGAGTTGCGCAATCAAATCTGGCTTTGCCTCTGGCTTTCTCCCATCTCGCCCTGCAGCTGATCATATGACCAAAAGCTTTGCAGACAGGATAATAAAAATTTTAAAAAACACGGGAGCAGAGGAGACGAGTGTAAAATGATCYCAGTAAAAAGAGATTATTTGATGGGAGGCCGTAAAAAAAAAAACAAGCATTTGAGCTGGATAGTTTTCCTTAAAGAGGCTTTTAATTTTAGTTATTTTTTAGTTTTCTTCATCTGTTCAGGCTTGTGATCATTTAATGTATTACAGCTCCAGGCATCAAAAAGGCTATAAAACATCTAACTGTGCTGTTTGATTTTATCTGAAATTATTTCTTAAATGGTGAGSTATAAGAGGTATTAAAATAGTTGAAGTGCAGCACTTTTCTTTGATTTTAGTTTGTTTTCCTGCTTAGTGGCTGAAATGAAAGGGTAAAACAAGTGGGGCATTCTGAGTGAAGCAGAAGTTAACCATTTCCAGATCGAACCAAAAATCTGCTGACTTGATTCAGAGCAGTCGTCTCACAACGTGACACATTTTACATGTCTTTYCATAACCTCTGTTAGAACGTGACTGAAAACTGCTGAACTGCAATGACTAGACACATTTTCAATTGTTAACAGATCCCGAATAAACTAACAAACATTTCACCGACCCATTTTTTGTCAAACATTTGTTTGGACACAGAGAAGCAGGAATTTGAATGCCTGAAGGTTTTTCTTCAAGGAGCTAAAGAAGTATTTCAGCGATTGGGCTTGACTCATGCCACTGAGTGACGACTCTGAATGACTCGTTATCATGAAAATMAAATTAGTTTCGTCTCAGTGAAATGTCAAAAATCCCGTGCCGGTTACACTTGTTCTCACAGGGATTCTGCAGGTGGATTTCAGCTGTTGTTTTTCTGTCAGCTGCTCCRTTCTGCAYGGCCYCGSCACAACGAAGAAAGCTGCACGAGAGATTTGGCGAC